AAATTGGAAGAGTTTCATGATATAGGTGAAAAATGGAATAGAAAGGAAATAAAAATATTTCTCATGCGTGTGTTTGATTTCTGAAATTTGAGAGTTATAAGTCATGGAAATAGAAAATTTTCCATTATTAGCCACATTAGTTTCAAAACTACTTTTGGAAAAGTTACACCAAACTGCTTAAAATTCTACCAAATAACGTACGTATATTGTTGGAAATTTTAGTCCTTAGTTTTATATATACAAATATTGAATGCAATTGATGCCACAATCCTAATATATTTATTTCAAGTATAAATCTATAAGGTTTAGTATGTACTTCTGTCTCAAATTTTATTTTTGTCAAGCACACACATGTGTAAAAAGGAAACAGAATCAGAAATAAAGACCTCCTGTTTCAAGGGAGTTCCTGGCTGCCGTTCTGAAATTCTTGATTGGGCAAGTAGAGAATTTGACCCCAAAATAAAGCAGCATGAGAGGGAAAAGGAGGTGGCAATGCCTATTCACATTTTTTGGGCCACTGCCCACTTACGGGCCCCATGCCAGAGATGACTCTGGCATTCCACACAGGGGATGCTGCCCCCACCAGCCTCTATTGGAGAAAGCAGAGGAGAAGCTCTGTACCGATTGGTTCATTGAAACTTTGGGTATATGAAAAAAAAAAAAGGAGCTTTGCCACTCAGTTTGTGAACCAAGAAAGAGAGCTGGACACTGGAAGGAGTTTCTGTATCTTTCTTGGTAACCATTATGTGGAGTAGTGCTGAAAATTAGAATGAAAGAATAGATTCAAACAAATATGCACACATACACACAAGACAATGCTAGAATCAAAAAGTAGAAAATATTTGAAAAAAGAAAGGTATTTGACAACTTAGCAAATTCCTAGCCTATTTTTACATAAGTTTCTGAAATAGCATATGGAAATCGTTAGTTTTCTTTCTGAGTTAGATCGGTTAATTATCACAAGATTTTATTATCAATGGCATGTGAACCTAAAATTTTAAATTGTCTGAGCAGGGAGGTTTTGTGGCAGGTAAAATTTTAAGCTTATGAAGAACTTTCAGACCTGTCAATAGTACCCAAGGAAAATCATAAGATTCCAAGTGCATTTTTCAAGTCACTTCGGGTCATGCTTTATGTTTTAAAAACTAATGAAAGTTCACATAAATATGAATGCTGCACCAAGTCGTGACAGACAACCACTGATGTATTGCATAATTATAATAAGATTGTTTTTATTTAGTCCATCTATGTACTCATGGCTTTCTTTTCTAATAAATGTGTACCCCTGAAAATGCCTAGTAAGTACCTGCACAGTAGAAAGTATTTGGTCATTCTAAAGTCAGTTTCAAATGTGCTTCTTCACACAGAGACACACACATGTGTACTAACACAATTCTTCATTGCATCTTCTCCAGTTAGCAATATTTCATAAAGTACATGGCAAGAATGGCACCTTCAAGTATTAATGTGAACATAAATCTATACTTTCAATAGTTTATGACACATACACTTTGTTCCATAGAGGAATCTGAGGTACAAAAAAAAAAAAAAAGGTGGGGGCAAAGTTGAATTTTCTTACTTGAAAACAAAGCTTTCTTTTCAAACTAAGGAAGTTAAGGTCTTCTATACTATAACTAAGTGATTTTCACTGAGGATCATCTGAGTAATTTTTGCAACATTCAGATAAAGTACTCTTTGATTCAACCAAACACTGAAGAACAAAAAAATAAAAAACAAAATAAAACAACTGAAACATTTTCTCAAGCGCTGGGTTGTTAATAAGAAGTTAGATTATTGTTATCTTGTGCCACTATAACCAACACTGCAAATGCAATGATGGCTTTTGTGACTATCTGAAATCTTCAGTTTCTGAGCACTAAGGACAGCAATGATAAAAAGGAAATTATCTTCTTGAGATCAAGAGCTTTAACTTTGTACTGTACACATGGAACAAAACTGTTTCCAGAGATCACATACCTTTTTCGTAGGAATCACCCTAAAATCTGAAATCGGAATAATCATACATCTCAAAGATTTTAATGTAGGATATACAAAGGCAGACACTTTTACATAAAATGGAAGTTTTGTATTGAATCTATGTGGTATGAAATTCTAAATTCTTGTCTCATAAACTGATTTCCTGACTTTTAAAAGAAAGTATGTTTATCAACAGTTGTAATCTGCCAAATATTAAACTAAATGTACATTTAATATAATTAAAAGCAAAGATATAGAATCCTGACAGGTAAATTTCTCCGGCACATTTGTCTCTGTCCCTCACCTGTTAAAAGATCAAACACTGTCCGCTCTGATAATAACCTGATGAATGAGGTTCCCATCTCCACTGTACCAACAGCTACCTCATCCTCTACAAAGGTCAGCTGCAACTTTGTAAACGTAAATATTCCTTTAAGTCTAATTAAATTAGAGATATTCTACTTATGTAATTGGAAAGAAATGTTTTCAGAAATTTAAAGTTACTTATAAGGAAATTTATTAAAGTTTCTATCCTAGACTATCTTTGGCTTCCATTAATTTTAATAAATCTAAGATTTATCTACACAACTACCAAAAAACATGCCCAAATGTTACAAAACTGCACACTAAACACTTCAGAAGTAGACAAAACTGGGGGAACGTCTGTGTCAATCAGTGGTACATGAGTCATAACTTACTCTGGAAACATGGCTACTTATAAAACCAATAGCTCAAGATACAGAAAGTTTCTGAAGATCTATCTAGAGCAAAGGAAAACATATACACCTACCTATTTTGCGTATGTGTGCATGTGCAGTGCTTTACAATTATTAATTTGCAAAGAAATCATTTTATTTAAAATCAAATACTATATTTCTAAGAAGCAACAATTACCAGGAATCTCTGAGGTCCTTTAAATGTGATCATTTCACCTTATCAAAGCAATGAATGTTCTTTGTCCTTTGTTTTTTGTTCTGCATCTGCATTAACATGGCTGCTAATTATATTAGCCTGGTGGCACATAAAGTCTGAATGGGGAAAATCATATGATTCTTATAGAACTTCCTTAAGATTTAAATGTATCCTCACTTAGACTGAACATGCCTACATTACAAGTACCTTTATTTTGTTAGAGAACTTAGCTTTGATTCAGAATTTCTGTTCCATAAGCAACGTAGCACTTCTCCAATACACCGTCGGATATGTGCACACATGAACAAAGACACAAACACACACAGAAATCTTTAGCCTTATCACCCACTTTGTATATTTAGTTTCATTTGTATATTTAGATTTTTTCAAAATTGTTAAGTTCTTGAGAAGTTTGTGTTCGTCACACAAAATGCCACATAGATCTAATGCCATAATAAAGCCCTACTAAGCCAAATGATTAAAAGTTGAATCACATTTTAAATTTTTTAAATTGAAAATAGCCTAAGAATGCTCTTACCCGCCCACTCATTCTCACAGTTTTATGATTTTACACAGTGAATCAGCAAATGTATTCTTTTCTGAATCATATATGAACATAGGAATGTTTTGAAAATCTTTATACAATTTGGCATACTTGGCCTAACCAGTGGTTTCACCAAGTAAACTCTCCCATTATTCTGATTAGCTTTATCATTAAGAGTAAAAATCCTTTATTGCAAAACTTAGATGAGTATGTAGCAAAAAGAAATAAACTGGTTTTACACATCACTGAAAAAAATTATATTCTTAAAATTACATTTATAGTTTCACCTTCTTTTTCTTATAGTCAAGTGCCTAAGTAATTCACAGATCAAAATAAGCATCATGAGATAACTTTCCTGGTGAAGAAAAACACTCCCAAACAATAAGCAACAAAAAGCACTGCCCCAGCTACATAGTAAACAAAACAACAACAACAATGACAACAAATGCTGGGGCTTCAAGACTACTGATAAATAATGAAGACCACTTAAGGTATTCTTTTAACAGTTTCAACAGCAAATCCTTGCTCTTTTGAACACTTTACTGTTGAGGTCTCAAATCTCCTTCAGTCTAGTTGTCCTTTCAGCCTTTATGAAACATTGTTGGAAATGTGGGTGGCTTTTCAGACTAATTTATACTTTCCAAGGAAAGCTATTTGATAGCAGGAGTGAGCAAGTACTCCTACTTCAAATTAAGCACTTACAGTGGCATATTTTGCACCTCTAAACTATCCTCAGCCCCTCCTATTGCCCTTAGAGAATTTAAATTCAGAGACATGACGTTTTACATTACTGGCTTCTTGCCTCTTTGCAAACGTACAACATTTCTCAAAATGTATATATAATTCTCCATCCTATAGGATCAGACAACATATCTATTTCAGGAGCAATTACATACATAATGTAAGACAGAATATTTTTCTTAAGAATTGTTTAAAATAATTGTGATTTAAAGGCTACTGATTCAGTTTATGGCAGTGGTGTTACTGAGTTTATCTAAGTATTTCTCTTCAATCTACATACTTTTAAAACTCAACGTGGCTTCTAGATCAGATTGCTGTAAGGATACCATCTGCCCTACATAGTGGTCTGTTACAGCATTATACTTCTAAGAAAATATTCCTTGAAAAATAACACACATCAATGAAGAAACAAAGATGCTGCAAAAAAATAGTGTATGGAAAAAAAGCCAAAAATTCCATATCTCTCTGTCTTAACACCTGTATAGTAAATTGTATGTGACAACCACGTTGTTACAGTAATAGGAATGCAAAGCATAAAGGAACAAGAGATACATCTTGCCTTGCTTAAAGAAATTAAAGACAAGTTTAACCCGCACCTGCCAAACTGTCTTCAGAGGAACAGAAATAGGTGGGAGCGGAAAGGCTCACCTCTCCTGTACCCCACAGTGCCTCTCCCTGAAATCATTTTAAATATAGGCAATATATCTGTCACCTTTTCTCTTTTATTTTTCCTTCCATTCTAATCAATGGCAGACCCTTTACTGCACTCCCCAGCCCAGTATCTCAAAGGCACATTACAGAATAAGAGGACCCAAGTGTCACTTACCAGTTGCATGCCACAGATAAAGATAAGCGTGCACCTGCCACTGCAATAACCCATGGTTTCCGAGACCCCTGCCACAGCCAGACTGTCCCACGTCGGCCACCGTCGAGCCCCCACTTTATCCAATCAGATCGCGGGGAAGGACAGGCAAACCTGCCGAGGGCTCGGGGGCTCCGGGCTGCTGCTGCCAGCGTCCTGGGAAGTGACAGGCATTAGGACCTGCTGGCGCGGCGGCGGCGGCGGCGGCAGCTCCAGCCGCGCCCGCCAAACATACCTTCACTCGCTCGGTGCACACGCCGCGCCGCGGGCAGCGCCGCCCGCGGAGACGCGCCCGGAGCCCGCAGGGGCAGCAGCGGCAGCCTCGTAGCGCCGCCGCGCCTTCAGGCATCTGGCCGCGAAGTTTCGCCCCCGCCGCTCCTTGCGCCGGCTCGCCCCACGCCCCCCAGCGCGGCCGCCGCCCGACGCGCGCTCGCCCGGCGCTCTCCGCGCGCCGGCTTCGGGGGCGGCAAAAGCGCGCGCGGGGCGCTGCCCGCCTCCCTGCGCCGCCCGCGGCTCCTCTGCGCCCAGCGCTGGGGGGCCGGACGGGCGGGGGCGGGGCGCGGGCCGGGCGGGGGCGTCCGGGCTCCGCGGTCCCGGGCGGCGGCGGCAGCGGCGGTGGCAGCGGCGGTGGCTGCCGCACGCAGTGATGCCAGGTCCGCGCCGCGTCCTGCAGCGGCGGGGCCCCTCCCCTCGCCCAAATGTGCTAATCCTCCTACAACAAATCCTTCAACAGCTCCCCGCCGCCCCTTCCCGAGACGTAAACTTCTTCGCAGCTCCGCAGGGTCTGCGGCTGAGGGGCTGTTGGCAGCGATGTCTAGGCGGGAAGAAGCGACGCAGGAGCGGTGACTGCGGCGGTGTTGACGCTGGGGACCTCGGGGAGAAGAGTCCGGGCGGCAGGTCCGTGGCTTCCTGGGCTTGCGTGGGTCCCGTTCCCGCAGCCGAGCCTGAAGCAGCAGGCGCGAGCGGGCCGCGTGTGTGCGCCTGTGTGTGTCTGAGGTGAAGGGACGCAGAGGAGGGATAGAGAAGGGGGGTGGGGTGATGAACTAGGGGTGCAGCCGCGGCATCCTGGCAGGTCCGAAAGCCCGCCTGGCGGACGGGAGGAGAAGGGCGCCGCGGCCGCAGACGCACTGCCAGCCGCCCAGCGCCCGGCTCCGGAGGATCTGCAAGGGCCGGAGCGTGGAGAGTTGTGGAGCCGACCCCGCTTGGGAAAAGGGACTGGGTTCCTGCCAGAGTTGGTGGGGAATTGGGGAAGCGGAGAGAGTAGGGACACAGTGAGTTGCCGTTACTGCTTCAAACTGTTTTCACTCGAGAAATTAAGGAATCAGAGACAATTTTAGCGCTCAATTACTACAGCTTTAAGGACCGTCCCAGCTGGGTGTGGATTCCTGAAGGTGTATGTTCCAGACCCCGCTCCCGAGCGACGGCCAGAAGCTGGGTACAGGCTCCTGCAAAGACCCGCTTTGGAGCCCGCTGCTGCCACCTGCGGGCGGAAATCTGAAGAGCCGAGCAAGTTGGTCCAGGTGGCGGCCTCAGGGGTCTGGGTATTCAGGATCCAAGGGTCAAGTTTCCTTTGTAACTCCTGGAAGCTACTGAAAGTATTACTGACTTTCCCAAGAGGTGAAGGGGTGGTGTGGACATCCGCTGGGGAACTCAGTCATTGGAATGAAGAGTTGAGACTGATGAGAAAAGAAAAGGAAACCACAAAGCAAGCATGCCCCACACCCCATAGGATAAAGACAGATGAAACCACATCAGGCAAGGAGCTTTCCATAGTAAATGGGATTTGGCCCTTCTGATAAAATGGCATTTGTATAGGTTAATGTTATCCTGGGAACCACAAATAAGGATCCCAAATGATTGCTTCCTTTGAATAAATATTGTGACATATCAGAATGACTAAATATTAAGAAATTGAATAGGGCATGGGAACCCTAGTCTCCAGTAGTATGGTACTAAATTTTCAGAAATGACTTGTCAATGGTAGAGAGCCTAAAAGTGATCTGATTTGTTAAATTTTTGGAATGAAGATACTTTATTACTGTAATGTAAATGTCTGCTTTTAATTGCCCTATTTGTAAATAGGCTTTTCTCTGAAAAGTGTCTTTCAATGCTTCATAGAATTAAGAGAACCCAATCTATGCTCTTACCCACTGCCAGACCTGGTGGGTAATACGTGCTCCACAACTCTTGGTAAAAAGAAGCCAGAGGTGTCTAGTACAGATGTTTCTTTTTGTTGTTACCGTTCTGCCTTATACACGTTAGCTGTTCAGTAGCTGCTGGGGGTGCAGGTGTTTTGGACTACCAAACAAAAAGAAAGCTGTTAAATTGATGTTGAATATCGAAGAAGCTCTTACCATATTGCAAAAAGCATGGTATTACCTTTTTTAAATTCGTAGGAGCCGCAATGCATGTGGATCCAGCAATAATCCTGCAACAGTTTCCCTGCGACCACCAACGTCTTTAGACTCTCTAGATTAAAGGAAAGCATAATGGTATCAGTAGCTGACTCTCAGTGCCCTGCGCATAGTCCCTGAATAGTTGCCTTACAGTACATGCCCACCTTCTTTCTTCAAGCACTTGGGACTCTGTCTACAGGCTCTTTCTAGCCACAGGAGGTGCTGAACTCCAGAGTGAAGTTACAGCTGTGAGAACAATTCTTGCCCAGTAATGGATATGGGACTTGGTGGATCAGTACCCCAACTTCTCAACCCAAAGATGGGAAATCCTGAGACATACTCTAGTCAGCATCATTAACCTCCCAACCAGGATTAAGCCCATAATGCCCGTGGTTGACCATATTGTTTCACTCCTGCATTCTGAATTAGCTTCCTTCCCTTCCTGCCTTATTTCCCTTCTCCTGTACCAGTGTTCCCTGGGTTTACCTCCAAAATAAATCACTCAAATCCTTGTGTCAGGGCTGCCTCTTGAGAAGCCCAACGTAAGGCAATCTGCAAGCACTTTTCCTGTTGTGGTATCATAGGCACATTATTCTCAGAGGAGTGAACCAGGTACATGTTTGGTGTTGAACATTTATTGTGTGCACCTACTACCTTACTCCATGCTACACCTGCATCCTCTCATTCATTACTCACAAGAAACCAATGAGTTAGTGAGAAACTCATTTGGAAGATACAGAAGATAGGATCCAGAGCAATGAAGTATCTTGTTCACAGGTGCACATTTTCCTGGTGGCAGAATTAGTGTGTAAAGGCATGTCTGTGGGACATTGAAATTCACTTTCCAAACCACTGTGCTGTACTTTATTGATATTTTACTATACTTCCTTGTCATTCTTTGGGAATTCCATACAGAAATGATGACTTAAAAATATTTAGGAGAATGATCACACATATTTTATCCCTTTTCCTAGCTTTATTGAGATCAGATTTTGTTATCTCTAAATTAAGTTCACTTTGCATCCTTTAGATGTGGTATACGCAAAGCCTGACTTAGGAAAAGGTGCCCTAGATAGGGATACAGTTTCATTCCTTAAGGCGGCTATGTCCTTTCTGTTCCATTTCCTATTATACTTGGAGCCTTAGGGAAAAGACTATAAAGAGAATCCCAACTGTCCCATTGAAGTGCATGTAGCAGGGCAATGTCTCAAATTGGAATGTCAATTGCACTTTCATTTAGAAACAGCCATATACTATTCAGCTTTCCTTGACTGGTCTGGTGATACAACTATTGCTAAGTATCTTGTTTCTGTGGGGAGAATGTGTCACACATTACACATCTCCATCTGACTGACCTTGGCATCCTACTTTAAAGTAACTTTCAAGGTTATTTCCCGCCTATTATCTCATTTATCTTAGAACAATGCATGGAATCCAGTGACTACTGCTGTCTGCTCAACAACCAATCACTTGAACAAAAGCAGGAGCTTAAGTCTGGCTTTGTAACACCACTAAGCAATTTCACTCTGAATTTTACTCTGTTCATTACACTTCAAAAACATAAAGGCAGCAATTAACTTTACAGTCACAAACCAACAAAATTGATTCATTGAATATTTTATACAAACTTGGATTCTTTGTTTGTGGAAAATAATATTTTCAAAATAAATTTTAAAAAGAAAATAATCTGGGGTGCCTGGGTGGCTCAGTCAGTTAAGTGCCCTGACTCTTGGTTTCAGCTCAGGTCACCATCTTAAGGTAGTGAAATTGAGCCCTGAGTTGGGCTCCATGTTCAGTGTGGTCTGCTTGAGATTCTCTCTCCCTCTGCCCCCCCACCTCTCTCTCTCTCTCATAAACAAATCTTTAAAAAAATAAAAAGAAAATAAAGAAAAAATAACCACACATAATCCTTCTACCTGGACATAATCTGTCTTCCAGAGATAATCTGTCATTTTTGCACAAACCATTTTTTATAAAAATGGGATTATATCTCCATAATATATTTCAATCTGCTTTTTCTTTTCACTTAATAATAACATATGTCCAACTCATTGACTATTAAGCTCATGAGTTCTGCAGCCAATTTAACTTCATATTCCAAGCTCTGCTGCCATTTACCAACCATGTAACCTTAGGCAAATCACTTAGCTTCTGTGCCTTAGTTTCCTTATCTCTAATGGGTAAGAAGTAGAAGGAGTAATAATGCATATATATCATAGCGCTGTTGAGAGGGTTGTGTAAATGTCAATATATGAAAAGTTTTCAAAACAGAGCCTGGGTGCCTGGTGCATAATTAACATTTTAAGATACTTAATTATCATTATTCTGCATACAATATAGCTCTTTTTTTTACATTTATCCATTTTATTTTATTTTATTTCTTTTCGGTGTTACAAAATTAATTGTTTATGCACCACATCCAGTGCTCCATGCAATATGTGCCTTCCACAATATAGCTTTAATCACTCTATAGCATTCTAATGTAAGAAAGTCTCCCAATCATTTATTTATTTATTTATTTATAGATTTTATTTATTTATTTGACAGAGAGAGACACTGTGAGAGAGGGAACACAAGCAGGGGGAGTGGGAGAGGGAGGAGCAAGCCTCCCGCTGAGCAGAGAGCCCGATGTGGGGCTCGATCCCAGGACTCTGGGATCACGACCTGAGCTGAAGGCAGACACTTAACAACTGAGCCACCCAGGCGCCCCATCCCAATTGTTTAATTTTTATCCTTTGCTTAGACAT